AGAACACCGACAATCTGTTTTATCCTGTTACCGTAGTGCCCAAGTCTCTGCGCCGTGTAGCAGGACTGGTCGAGTTGTCGCGGCATACACTCGTTCCTTCACAGACAGCCGGATGTCGCGACGACGCCACAGATGTCTCAAGTTGGCAAATGCCAACCGAGCCTTCTGTGTGCGAGCTGACACTTCATTCATGATGAGCCCAAAATTCAAAACTTATCCACCTGCACTATTATTTCCCCAGTGAGAGTGAAGCTGGGTGCTGGACCAACCCAGTCTTGTAGTAACATTTTACACTTTGAAGGTGCAAAACGCATACCGAACATGGCTACATTAGCACTAAACTATCCAGAAAAGCTTGCGACTTACCTGGATCTTGATTCAGTAGCACAATATTTTCTTCATAATCTAGATCAGACAGCCTGCCACCTGGGAGTGAATCGATGCCACTATCCTCGCACGAGGATAGGGCTGTTTCCATAATCAGATCTATGAAAAAGTTGAATAGAAACGGAGATAGAAGGCAATCATGTCGAACACCACTTTCCGTGATAAACTCGGGTGAAGAAGTGCCGTAAGCCCGGACTCGATTTCGGCTATTAGTATAAAGAGATCGTAATATTGAAATTCACTTCTCGGGCACACCTTTCAGAAAAAGGCAGCGCCAGAGTTTAGAGCAGTCGACTGAGTCAAAAACCACTTTCAACTCTAGGAAGAAAAAGATGGTAGGTCTACGAAAAGAATGTCGATGCTCCAGAGTTTGGCGGAGAGTGAAGATGTGGTCGATACAACCTCGACCGGGCCGAAAAGACCTGGTTCTCACGCGTGCACCGTTCACGTGCGGCAGACAATCGACGGAGTACGATACCAGCGAGTAGTTTAGAGGGAATGTTGATCAAACTAATTCCTGTTTTCAACAAGAGGATCTGTCACCCTTCTTATAAATCGGTAGGATCACCGATTCACAATATTCGGTTTGAACCGTTAACTCTCCCACACTGAGCCCAGGATTTTGGTAACCCCGAAACCAAGGCTGTATCGTCATCCTTAAAAACTGATGGAAAGGATAGCCCGTCGGGGCCTGAGGCCTTATGCTTTTTGAGATATTTTTTTCCCGGGAAACCTCCATTTCAGATGGAGGACTTGTGTCAACTGACAGTATTTGCATATTTGAAGCGGGTAGGAGGAAGTACAGTGTCGACGAGGATCACCTGAACTGAGCCCTAAAATGTTCTTCACAACATTTAAGACGACGTTCCTAAGTTCGAGTGTGTCATCGGATTCCTTAATTTCCTCACCTTCCCCTACTCCTAGGTAAACGAAAACGGTTGCGACTATTATCAGTAGCCGCAGCTTTCTCCTTCCCTCTACACTTTCCTACCCAACACTTCTCGCAAATCATTCCTCAGACTCTTGGTGAACTGGCGTTTAAGGGATTTGAGCGCTTTGTCGTATTTTGAATCCGCAGGAATGGCTTAGCGAGTGCCCAGCACGGCAATCGAGGTCGGGGAGGTCCATCGTTCTTTATTTGATCCTGCGCCAGAATCCGCCGTTGTTTTGATCGCTTCCTTGATTGTCGACCAGTGTTCACTTAGTCTTCCGGCTGATGGTTGAGCTTAAAGGCAAGCTGATAGTTCCGCTTCGAAGGCCGATTTGCAACCGTCGCTGATACTGTATTCTAGGCATCCGTTTTCGGTGTCATTTCTGCGGTTATTCATCAGGTGTAGGGAGAATCGCGCTCGTAGCAGAGAATGATCCGTGTTCACCGGTATTGACTAATAGTGTTAAATTCCGAAAAGGCGGTGCTGGTCGAGGAGAGTTCTTTATTGCAGAATACAGATTGAAGGTCACTAATTTTGCATGCATAACACGAAAAGCTCATCAGAAACATGCCTTTGCAGCACATCGCGACACATGGGGCAATGGGTAGAGCAGGCAGTGTTTATTCTTCCCAAATATATTACTTGGTCCTTGATGGTCTTGTTCTATTTTTATTCACTGAAAGTTACCGACTACCCACAAGTGAGTAGCATCTCACAACAGTAGGAGCGGCAGTCCTTAATGGATTCACGCCAGCGGTGGCCGAAGGCGATGTGGTCGATTTGAGTCCAGTGCTGTGAAGAAGTTGGCGGTCTCCATGTACGTTTGTGTCGTTTCTTGTGCAAGAAGTTGGTGCTTGACAGAAACAGTCCATCGTGAGCGGAAAGTTGAAGTAGGCGTTTTCCGTTGTCGGTCCTGTTGGCTGGGATTACATGCGATAGTCAAAAAAATGAGTGATTTCAAAGAACTACCCCTGTTCATACTACAACAAATGGACATTGTTTGTCGGAAGCAAACGACTTCAGTGAAGAACAGCTCGAATAAATTTACCGATCATTGTCATGATACTATCATTTAATATGATAGAGATGTTTAATTTATATGACTGACAAAGGGTGTTGTGACAATGTTAAAGAGTTCTAGAGGACTCATCCAGCAAACGTGTTTAGCGTTTCACCTTTTCAAATTCAAGTAAACCCTCTGTAACCTCAAGGGAATCCGTTACAACTTCAAGTGAATTCAGCCAATCACATCCTACCAGAAATCCAACAAATCTGCCGTCACACAACACCGACTGGACCGGGCCTATCAAAATCCCGTGTAGTTGCAGTGAACTGATTTTACCACAGACAAACAAAAGTAATATATCACGACCAAACGATGTTAGAAGTGTTTCGAAGAATCAACGAGCCGTTTTGTGTTATATTGTGAATGTTATAATGCTAATAACATGGATATCAGCAGAGAGTCGCGTTCTTGATGTTTCGGTTATCGTGGGTAACCCTCCTCAAGGCAGATTTTGCAGTCAAATGACTGCGAGGAAAGTATCACAAGTCAACGAATGTTTCATCGTGTGTTTGTGTGAATTTGTGTGGTGAGCAGTGGTTGCCCGATGCTAACGTCACCAAATTATCACCCCGGGGATGTGCGTACGAATCCCACCACCACCACCACCTGACTTTCCCCATTGTGCGTTGAATGACAGCCCTTTGATTGGCCGCTTCCCCCTTCCTGAAAATTGTATCGGTGTATATTCAATATGAAAGTAAAATGAAAAAGAAAAGAATGATTGATTGTCTGTCATTCTAACTCTGTCATACTAACTATTTGATGGGACCGAATGCCACCATGACCTTGCCGTGATTACCCGTTAGTGATTTCAGGGTAGTCCGAATGCTCGGGATCTTGATTCCGTCGTTTCTGTTGATGCCTGCAAGGTGGGTGCTAATGACCAAGGCTTCAGAATACGAGCGTTCAGTGCATTTTCGAAATCCGAGTTGGACTACTTTCGGATTATCGTAGTCTACGGTGTGACATTCGGTTATGACGTGAAGAACGACCGCTGAGTCTCGTTCTAGTTCTGCCATGTTGCTTTGCCCGCAGGTGGGTGTTTTTCTTGTCTTGAGTTGTCTTCTGATCCGCCTAATGTATTCTGTAGGAAATTGTTTACAACTGTTTTTGTAAATGCAGTTATTTTGATCTTACAATGCGACCGGATCTTTGGTTTTCGTGAACTGCTGTTTCAGTGTTGCCAAACTAAAAGGTGTGTTTTGAAATCTCCGAGAATCCTTCTGATTGCTTCTGAAGTGCCTGATCTATATGGAATGACAAAAGAGGCTACGCGGTCATTTTTGTCTTTGGATTGCACCATTAATTTGTTCAATTCTAGCTGGTGTCTTACCGGGAATGAAAGATATGATTTTTTTCTAGCACTTTATTGAGGAGTTTCTATTTTATTTGGCGTTTGTTATCTTCATTACAGAGCTTTTTAACTCTGTCAGCCTGAGAGGATATAAGAGCCCGTTTAACGCTTTATGGATGAGCTAATTCAAATTGTAGACGTTCGTACAAATGTGTGGGTTTTCACGAAAATTTACCATTAGTGTCCGTATATCTGATCATGCTGTGAATAGATGCAACGCGGATGATAAATGATGCAAGAAGGATGACGCGGCATGCAACGGAGCAGAGTAAAAAAGAGAGAAGCTGTAGGTCATAGGTTCTTGCCATTGGTATTGCAATAGTTAATTCGGGATTTACAAAGAAAAGTGTAATTTCTGTTTGATAGTGAATGGGTTCAAATTCGATCTTGCTAGTCAGGTGAAAGACTGTTGATTCTTTCATTATATTCTTGTACCAGTATTAAGTATCCTGTCAAGTATGCCTTTCAATGCCAAAAATACGTCGGCAATTGCATTTGGCTAGAAGGAATCGGTGTTAATCGAGGCCTCAATGGAATTCACTCACTTGGCCTAGACTGAACCCACTCATGCAATGATTCATTCCAACATTCGCGCTTGAGCACGCGGACCAATGTATTGACCCATTTTGACGTGATTCGCTTTCTTACTCGGTCGACCCCCAACAATTACCATCGGGTTTGTATATTCTCGTCTCGTTCACACAATCAACGGCCAAGGTCATCGCGTACCGGGTGAGGTGGTGGTGGTGGGGGGGGGGAATAGACGAACACTTCAACCCCACCACACAGAAACTTTCATCCTTGTTCGCAAACTCACTGAAAAAAGTACTCCTGTTTGTCTATGGAGAAATCAGTTCACTCCAACTGCACGGGATTTTGATAGACCCGGTCCAGTTGGTGACGTGTGACAGCATAAGAACCAATCACTTTGTTGGGTTCCTGGTAGAATGTGATTGGCTGAATTCATTTGAAGGTACAACGGATTCACTTGAGGTTACAGCGGATTCTTTTGAAATAGAGAAGGTATAGAAGTACAAGCCGAAAGCAAAACAATCGCATAGGGGTCACGCAGTTTAGTTCGCACTTATGCATCACGTGTCTCCTGTTCCCAAAGAATAAACCACATGTTTCACTTAGGTTCAAGCAATTACAGAGACCGAAAAAAACGTTTTCTCGCTTTGATTCGTGGTTGAAGACTTACTTCATCACCTGTTCAGTGTCTACTTGACTGATAGTATAGGGAATATGGTATATTTTCCAATCAGAGCATAGTAGTCGAGTTATCTTTGATATCTTCCACTTTATGAATAATTCTCTGCGCATAAATCACTGCGTCGTGTATCGATACGAAACAGATCCGGTTGAGCTCATCTGAGGTCAGGCCAACTTTCTGAAGGGTATCGCTGACTTGCGGTTGACATGTGGTCAACAGCAGATTCACATCAGCGGACGCAAAAGTGTGAATCAACTGCAAGGAGGATGGTAAAGACGTATGTGAATAAAACAGGTTCTGATTGGACTAAGAACATATTACAAAGCGGTTAGTGCAGGGCACGTGTGAAGTAAAGAACTTAGTCACAATATACTATGACCATGTTACCATGATTTTAGTTGCGAGAATTCACAAAACACTACATCGGACAAACTTGAGGAAAACTATCAACAAGGATCCATGAATGTCACTTGGCATTCAGGAGAAATGATTCACTATCGTTGATTTCCCTCCACCAAAATCAAGGACATCCATTCGACTTCGATTCACTGATAATCGTCAATCAAACTGGGTTAAACACGCCAGACAGTTTCTCAAGGCTTGGCATTCTTCAATCAACCCCTTAAACTGACCCATCAAACTGGATCACGTATAAACGCCATTACAACTGAAGGATCAAATGACGCAACAAAAGGTCACGTCGTGACATGATAACAGACCAAAACCATAATCACCCGCTTGTACCAGTTCACCAGCGAACCAAGTCAAACAGTGTGAGAACAAGGGGCAAAAATAGGTGATGAAGAGGAACATATATTAGCAAAACACTGCCACTTCACAAGCGTTGAAGATGTCACCTAGGCTGGTGATGAGACGTTTGCGAACAAGTTGCTAAGCTGGACGAACACGAATAATTTTTCTAACCTAAGTGCCTTTTACCCTGGATATGTAGGTGCTGAATATTCACAGTTCGGAATCCAAGAAGCATGCATTTACCCTGAGTGGAACACTTAACTGGGTGGTGAAAGTTGATCAAGGTAGAGGGAAACCCAAACGCAGAAAAAGAAGAGTTCAGTTCAGTTCCTACAACCATTACCCATGCACTTTCGTGAGACCGTTTTGGTTGTCCATTTAGATAAAAGAGAAGAATGAAGATTATAATGTTGATAGCAAATTCGAGCGGAAGATAACCAACTTATATAGACCTATATGCAAGAATAATGAGCAGATGCACGAGCGCCACTGTTGGCGACATCCAGCCATATCACTCAGTGTCTTTAACCATCGGTGACCATGATCTCGCGGCCTCCATCCAGGGAGCCTAACTGGACATATGTGACCTAGTCTCCTGGTTAGGGTTTTCATACCCTCATGCCAGGTCTTCGTTTCACCACCCTTGGTCTTTTTCACATCGCTACCTGCCTTGGCAAACATCGCTCGCCGTGGCAACCTATTTGGTGACATGAGTTACACATATCCCAATCAACGGAACCTATAAAGGTCAGCCACCTGCTCCAGTGGACGAACACGATTGCTTAAAACTCTACACCTAACCTCAGCAATGCTCGTCCGGTTACCTCACCAGACTCTTGCAATGCTACGTAGACAGCGGTGTTCGAACACCGGCAATTTATTTTTATGCTGTTTCCGTAAAGGCCAAGTCNAGAGTCATTGTTTTGTTCACATATAGTGCATGAGGTTGAACCACTAGCTATATGAAAACACCAAAATCGTTGTAAACTTGGAACTGTCTGAAAGGTACCCATCACGGCATTTAGAACAAACACAATTTGGCGAAACAATTCTTCCTCCGTCCAGTCACCCTGAGGCCAAATGAGAGGTTGATCATGACAAACTCTTACCCATGATTGGTGACGTCTCAAATTGTGGGACCTGTTTTCTAACGTTACCTAAGTAATCGTAAACGATTCGAAAATACTATGGAGGGGAGGATACAGAGAAACTGCTATCATGAGACGAGAACAAATGTAGCTGATTGTGCAAATGCTTTGGGTAGGAGCCCGATTTCAGTTACAAAATTTTGAGCACTACAATCGTGAATGGTTTACAAGTTCGAAATAAAACACTAGAAGGAATAAAGAAAAAAAATGCTAGTTGTATACAAAAACAGCAATCGGAGGATTGATGGAATCATTTATGGTATACCTATGACTGATGCGATATGCACCAAGCAATTCACCGGTAAGAGGATTTTGGCGACTCATGTTTATGTTGAACCACGCATTGTGCTATTTAAAGGACGTTTCCTCTAAGAGTAAAAACACCACCGGTCACAAAACAATGACTGTGATCGCTGCAGAGAAAGGGAATAACTGCATTGGATTTCATGTTCAACTTTTTCGTCGATCAATAAACTTCGGAAAATATGCATGTGGAAACATATCTCTCTTCCCTTACAGCTGTCACTCACATAATATCGGATCATGTAAGCAATCACAAATATTCATTATCAACTATTTAAAGTGTTAGCAATTCGTTCATAAACTTAAGTAATTTTTAGCGTTGAAGCCCTCATAAACCTTGGATTCGATGCTCGTTCATAACTGCATTATCGATTATTCCATAAAGTACCAAAATCGTGCTAGACCAGGAGCACATCATTTGTGAGTCATTATTATGTCCGGAATGTTTTTCACATCCAGTGTGGATAACAGTTCACTATATTTAAGTGACCTCGTGCGTGGTGTCACGTGGTGTGGAAGATGGAGAACAAGTTTCTTTTAGTGCAGGTTGCTGTTTGTGACTGGTTGTTAAAATTTAGTGGGAAAAAATGCTTAGATCAATCAATCATGTTAAGATTAGCGTTATAAAACACTCCAATTTGATGCTAACAGTCAAACAGGATTCAAAGAAGCACCAAAAGACATACATCACGCAATACCTCTGCGCCGACAATATCCACGAACGTCCAAGAAGCGATATCCAAAATGACACAACGGATCCTCTGCTGCTGCCCAGTTGTCGCGGTATTTTTCTGGAAGGAACGGGTTTGGAATGCATTCAGTGATCATGAATAATATTCGTTATATTATTCTGTTATCGAGAGGGTAGGTACTGGAATGGATAGATCAATCTTAATGATCTTTTGTGACTGAAACAACATTATCAGAGCACAATACAGTAGGAGGTTCAACAGTTGCGTTGTTCATCAA